TGAGATTTAATTACACCATAGCTGAAAAGGTAAAACTTGTTCTCATTATTGTTATATATTATTGTTATAACTTTCCAATTCTTACATCTTATAGCCTTTGGCAGCAAATACTGAGTTTTTGCAAAACTCAGAATCAATCGCTATGTTAGAAATATACATTTTTTTTAGTAATTGTTATCTCATCATCTCTTGTCCCTGCAAATTTGGTTTAAAAAAAAAAAAATCAATGACAGTTTAAAGTTAACACAGATAATATCAGATCAACAAAAATTTGCTTATTTATAACAAAGAAAACTCACTCACAACTTAAACTGCAGACCACTAGACGAGACGTGCAATGCGTCGTAATGCCCATAACCATGATAAAGAACGCGAATCGGGTTCTCAGGACCGTACTCTTGACCATACTCGGCTATAACCGTAAGGCAATTCTTCTTCTTGTCAAACATGTGTACAGTTATCGGGACCCTGAAGATAATTTTGTCCTTAAACATAAACACTCGATCGAAGTAAAAAACCTTCAAGAAAAACAATAATAATGGTTATGTACCAACCGAAGCACGTGTGAGGACATGAGCAGCTCGGGCTCCCCACCCCATACATGGGGCATTCGCATTCGTGCAACATAAGTATCAAAATCGCCTTCGATAAACCTTAAAAAAAATATGAAATCCGACTTACGTGCTCGATAATAACATATAAAAGGGAGCAAAACTATAGTTTTATTCACAATATCAACCATATTTTCTAAGAAAACTATTCATACCATTCGCTGTCTGCTCGTCTCTTGATGAACTCATCAGCGACCTGCTTATATATATATGATCTTCTTATGAGTAAAACAACGCAAACAAGCTTCAAAATTCTTTTAAGGATATAAAAAATGAAAAAGAAAAGAAAAACCGGGATGTGCTAACAGTTGCTCGAAGCTCGTCTGCAAGTTCCTTTTCGTTGATTTCGGTTGGAGATGGCTTTCCTGATCTCAGACAAGCGCCATGGACCACGGATCGGAATAAACACCTGCCATCCCCTGGTATTCCTGAGCCCAAATCCATGTTAACGTAAAAGGGTAGAAAAAAGATACAAGCTTTACAGCCGAACTTCCAAAAACAGCAATTAATAAAAACAACCCAAAAGGCCAGAAGGCTTAAACAACATATACACGCGAGACAAAAATGTGCAATCGACGAAAAGAACAAACCAAACGTTAATCAAGACTTTGAGCTTCAGAGAAGCAACCAACAACTTCATTGTTATTTACAAATAACAACATTAAAGTAACATTATATACCAGAAAAGTAACACATTAAATCCCCGAAAACATACGAATGGCGGGGAGATCGTTACCGAGGGAAAGGTCGGATTTTGGCATCGAAAACGGAGATTTCAAGCAGCCAAATGGCATTTATGATGATTAATTCAGTCGATTTTTTTTTGTTTTTTTTTTTTTGTTCTCTTATTTTACAGAGCAAAACACTTCTTGTTTTTGGTATATACAAAGATGTTGATTTGATGAGCTGTGTCCATGAGGAGTGGTGATACGACGTCGCAGGCTCTGAGCATAAAGTGGGGCTGTAAAGTGGAGGATCCCATCACTTTCATTACACAGAATCAAATTCCGTCCACGAGTGAAAAAGATGGTTCCGATTCCGAGTCGACTCACCGAGTATAGCGGGGCAAGAACATTTAGCTGAATATTTACGTTGCCACTTTTGAAAGTTGGTTATGGTTATTATCCGGCTGAATTGTTGAACGAGCTGCTGAAAAGCTCGATCCGGCTCTTCTCGTTTAGTTAATGAGTCAAGTTTAACGCGACTCGTTAGGCTTGATAAATAAAATTTTTACATAATTTAATTTTTAACTTGTTAAACTTGGAACGAGCAAAGTTCGAGCTATTTATCGACTCTTTTTTTTTTTTTTTGTACAGGGACCTTCCGATTTTTGGATCCACACGAGAATCGATTAATCCAGAATCGAGTCGAAGTTAATTTGTGGAGAGCTATATTACCCGGTTAATTAAAGAATCTATTGGCATGTGGAAGATGTTATTATTCTTTTCACTGTTTCATTTATCTTTACTTAAAACATTATTTGACACCAATAACATTAAAATTGAACGATTCATAAATATTGGAGATGCTTCGATTTTGGCAATATCTATACTTGATGATTCTGGACCGTCAAATCACAGGACATACACCCATGATCATGATCTGACGGTTTAGACCTGAGTGAAATTTTCCATGCTAATTTCCTTAGTTGGACACATATTGGGCCTCACTCACCCCACTTCCTAATCTGAATTTTAGCCCATTTAAGGTACACCCTTATTGGGCCGGTGATCACGATGAGGCCGCCTAGCTAATACTCACCCTGGACCTGGAATATATGTATTGTAGCGCAAGAAAACGTCTCCCAGTTCTTACTTAAGCTTTTGCAGAGTTTCCGAAAATTCATCCGATTAAGTTTTCAATCTCTGCAGTTCATGTGCTTGAAGCTTACAAGAATCAGGTAACACAGTAACCCCTCAGTTAATTTAATGCGTCATAATGTTTTTGTTCAATCGTTTGTGTACGATTAGGGTTTATGCTCCATTGGATCTAGCATTGAATTTCGCTTCGTAATTTTGCATTATATCTTCTTTCTTGCGGACCCAATAAGTGCCGCAAACTTTGATTGAGCTAAAACTGTATTGGGTTTGTTCTTTCTTTCAGTTGTGGAAAGTTGGAATCTTTCTTCTTTTATTTATTTTCTTGAAGCGCGCCTTGTTGCTGGATTTTTACAACACTCGATAATTCAGGAGTGGTATTTTAGGCGTTTTTAATTCAGGCTCACAGTTCTGTAAATGTAGTAGTAAAAGTTTTGGTTTTGGGAAGCTGTTGATTGTTTTCTATTTGAGCAGGAGACCCTGTGCGGGTAAGCTTCACAATTTTTTGGTAATATTGATTATATTCTCGTTGATTATATTCTCGTTTATAGGAGACGATGATGAAAATTGATTTCGGTGGGCTTGATCCATCGGCACCTATAAAGGGTAATAGGGATGATTTGCATGATGAGATTTCAGCTCCACCATCTTTCAAGCTTCCTACTGCAGTTGATGTGAGTTTAGCTGCTCTTTTTTTTTTCTTTTTCTTTTTATTTTTCACTAATATGTATCAGCGAGCTGATAGGTGAGTTAATTTCCTTTTCTCTTCCTTTTAGTTTGATGGGTTTCAGAAAGCTGCAGTACAAATGGTGAAGCCTGCAAAGGGAACCACTACTCTGGCTTTTATATTTAAAGGGGGTGTTATGGTGGCCGCCGATTCCCGTGCCAGCATGGGAGGATATATATGTGAGGCTTGATACATTCTTAACTCTATAATGCATTTTCTTTTTTTTTTTTTTTAATCTGATGCGGATGATAATGTAAGGGATTGCAAGTTCAACCATGAAAATATAGGCACTGATATTCTAATCCATTTTACTGGTATACACACTAGAAAAACACCAGATAAGATCTACATAGTAAATTGTGTTAGAAGGTAAAAAAATTTGGGGAGACAGAATCAGAGATTTCCCAGGCTCTTTACTCTTGTTAATTTTTATTGATTTCTTTTTTTATTATTTTCTGTTTACGAGATTAGCGATACTGCATTTAACTTCTCAAGAGTTGTATATTCATAATCTGTAGTTTCTTGGACTTGGATGTAAACTGTAAAGGCTACTAAAAAATATCTTGCTTTTTTTTGTTTCTATTCACTTGGGGTGTTATTCTTTATATGGGGATACTTGTGGTAATTTAGTCAAATACAATTGATAAGTTTTCATTACTGATTAAAGTTCCTGTTGACAAGCTTATAAACTGTCGGTATAGAGAAGTGGATTTTGAAGTGTAACAGTAAGATTTTCTATTTAGATCCTGCGTTTGATGAATGAACTCTAGGGGAAAAGCCATCACATAAACTTTGCTTGTTAATAATACGATGCTTTCAATTTTTTCGGTCTATTTTACTATGGACTGTGTTTTCATATTGTGGCAAATCTAGCTATCTCAAGTTCTGCTTGTAGCAGTATACCATATGACTATGCAGGAAATGATGATTTATTATCTTCTTTTGGTATAAGACAAATGTAGGTCAAGTCAAATTGAAAGGACCATAACTGGATCATGTTAATGCCATTTCATATTTTCTTATGTGTGCCCCGAATAGGGCAAAAACCAATTCTTATTGTTTGAAAGATAGGTCGGTGGTGATGCTATGATGTTTTTTTGTTCTGAAATACTGTATCCCATAGTTGCATTTCTTTTTATATGGTAATTAGCCTCTTTCTATGATAGCATCACAATCTGTCAAGAAAATAATTGAAATAAACCCGTACATGCTTGGTACGATGGCTGGAGGAGCTGCCGATTGCCAGTTCTGGCACAGAAATCTCGGAATCAAGGTGATACAATTTTCTTGTAAACAATTAAGTTATTGTTATATCCAAATATTTCAGGTTTTCTGGGTGAGATTTGTTTGTTTTGTACTTTTGTTAACATGTCAGTATTTTTGGACTCTGATGAATCCAGCTTTTTTTCCCCTTTCTTTATTTGATTTGTAAAAAATTGTTCATTTTCCACTCAAGGACTAAAATAGATAAAGGCCAGTGTTATGATATGATCTGATATCTGTTTATAGTTATGCACACCCTTTGAAAAACTTTTTTTTTTTTTTTGGTAAATCACCTTTAACGAAGGTTACACTCAACGGGTTCAATCGTTTTGAGTTTCCTTCAATAGAATGGTTCTCCTGTTTCGAGGTTGTATAAGCTACTGAAACATTTTTTTTATTGAATGGTAATCTTGCATATTTTAGTGCCGTTTACATGAATTGGCAAACAAGAGAAGAATTTCCATTGCTGGAGCTTCAAAGCTGTTGGCCAACATTCTGTATTCTTACCGAGGAATGGGTTTATCTGTCGGGACTATGATTGCTGGCTGGGATGAACAGGTATAAAATGATAATTTAGCAACTTAAAATCCCTTTCCTACTCGAATCTTTATTCCCATGTACTTTTGCAATTCGGTGTAGGGCCCTGGTCTCTACTATGTGGACAGTGAAGGTGGACGACTTAAAGGCACCCGATTCTCGGTTGGCTCTGGTTCGCCATATGCTTATGGTGTTTTGGACAGTGGGTAAGTTTCAGTTTTGTACTACGATATTCATATGGCTTGTGGCGATTAACTTTTTTTTTTTTCTTTTTTTTTCTGTTTGTAGATACCGTTTTGACATGTCGGTTGAGGAAGCTGCCGAGCTGGCAAGACGATCAATCTATCATGCCACTTTCCGTGATGGTGCTAGTGGTGGTGTTGCAAGCGGTAAATAATGCTCCTCCCTTTTATTCTGTTTTTGTTCTTCGATTTTATTATTATTATTTTTAAAATCAATTTTTTTTTTTCACGACACATTTTTTTTTGTACAGTTTATCACGTTGGGCCGGACGGGTGGAAGAAGCTGTCTGGAGACGATGTTGGGGAGCTGCATTACCATTACTATCCTGTTGAGCAAACGTCTGTGGAACATGAGATGATTGATTGAGAGAGCCCGTGATTAGAATGGTTTGTGTTATTTGTTTTTGCTTCAGATTGATTGTACTTTGGGAGGATTTAATCTGCCTCAATTCCATCTTCAGTTTCGAATGAAGCTGACTTGTTTTTCATAATCCGGTCGACAACACTTCTTTCGATCCATGATTTTCATCTTGGAAAAGAAAAAAACTAAAAAACTTGAGGAATTTCGGTAAGTGGCTAAGATATTCCGAAATTAGTTATAGAAGTCGTGATTTTATGAGTATTCGGATATGGATTGAGGATGACAGCAAATTCGACCCTACATGCCCCGTGTTGATCCAATGGTAAAAAACACGGGTCGAATTTGACTGAGGATGATAGGTACAAAAAACATGTGTGGCTTGGACAAGATTATGCATAATTTTGTCCAAGATTGCCATATTTTGAATGGACTGCCTCTAGCTGTGAAGGGAGCTGAGCTGACACAAGTTTTTTGGGTAAACATTATATTGATGGTTAAGCTTTCAATTTTTATTTCTTATAATAAGAAGGATAAAATTCTGAGTGGTTGAATATGAACTAAACAAGTAGATATAACTAATTTGGAAGTAAAGGTATGAGGGAGGAGCTTCAAATACTCGTTACTAAGAGCATCTCCAATGCTACACCTTTGAAAGACTATAATTTTTTAACACATGTCAATTAATGATTGTAATGGTAATTCATCTAGAAATAATGTTAAAAGAGTAGAAATTTGAATCAAATTAGTATCTCAAATGCATCAATTTGATAAAAAGTTATTTGTATAGGTGGACCAATTAAGATAATCATTAATACAAGAAAAATAAAAATTAAATAAAATATAAAGTGAATTAATAAGTCATCATGTTTAACATGGTATTAGATATTAGAAAGTGTGCCCAACATTGTCAATATTAAATGCTATGAGCGTGATTGGATACAAAATTTCTCAAAAATATCCCAACATTTTTAACTCAACTATTTTTTTAAACTCAATTTTAACTCAACCCCACTATCATCATATTATCAATATAATTAAATAATATTATCAATCATTCATACACACCACATCAACCTTAATTCACTATTCATCCACTCACATAATTTTACCTAACCATCACTTCAAAACTTCTCTCTCCTACTTTACATCAAATTATTTTTAATTATTTTATTTTAAATATTATTTTAATATATCCACTAATAATTAATCATACCAACTTTTTCAAAACTAACCAAACCAAACAAAAAATCCAAACAAAACCAAAATTTTTTATATCCAATCATCCTCTATACATCTCATCATGAAAGAGCTCATGACAAGATGCATTAGAGAACAAATTAGTAACACGCTTTCAAAAGTTGATGATATGGACGAATTTTTATAATGTCAAAAGTCACATGCTCTTATAGCCTCAAAAACTTTGATGTGATTCATAAATATGGTTGTAAGGCAGTCAAAAATAAGTGTTAGTTTTCAAAATATAACAAAATATGACATTTGTATATTTCCCTCAATTTATTGATGATACAAATAATACAAAAATAAAATAAAATAAAAAGTGAAAACTATATAAGATTTTATTAAATTACAAATTTTCCAAGTCTAATAATATGCCTAATAATAGTGCACGAGCTTTTGAGCAATATTGCCCTAATCAAAAAAAAAAAAAAAAAAAAAAAAAAAAAAAAAAAAAGATAATTTAAAGAACATGGGCTTTTGCTTCGTAGCTAATTCAAGGCTTCGAGCTACTTGAATCCACTAAATGGGTGATGGGACCCCATTTTACTCCTAAAATCAGATTTGGATATCAAATGAATTTTTTCTTTGGCATGAAGCTAAAGTTCTGTTTATTGCTTCCATATTTTCCATTAATATGTACAAAATGGTTTTGATTTTCCTCAATGATTTGATATTAAAAACTCAATTCCATTCTGCTTTTTAACGATGGATACGGATTAATATGTTCGCTTGTTCATGATATATAACCTTAAAAAACCATAAATTATTGACACAGGAGATGCTACTGCTCTTTACGGAACCATTCCATCAAGGTTTGTAACCGTTAAATTAACTATTCCCGATGGTTATAAATTCTGATAAAATGATTTCGTAACGGAATCGTATGACTAGTGGAAATATTATTTGAACCATATTTGATTCTAAGATTCATTTTGATTTTTAGAAAATTTAATATGATACTTTGCACCTAGACTACAAGTGTACATTTCCCAGTGCTCACGTGCCAATTCAATTATTAAATATATATATATTTTTTTTTTTTGGAAATTCAACTTGCACAATAATAATACTATAGTACAGAGACAATCATCAATAAAAAATAAAAAAAATAAAATAAAATAAAATAAAAATACATGGTGCACATAAAGACTTTTGTTAGCTTCTAAGCACGTTTTCATGATAAGGGCTTATTAGATGATACCCGCCTCCACTTAAACAAATTAAGTAATCAACTGAAATGAATTTCTTTTAAAAAAACAAAAAAAACAAGATTAGAAATTAACAATACTATCTTCACTTAAATAAAAATATAACAAATATTGGATCAAATTATATGTACATTGAACTGTACATATAAGTTTGGGGAGATGCTACGATCCCGTTATAAAACTATTCCATCGAGATTTGTAACCGTTAGATCAATTAACTCTGACGGTTACATGATGATCTAACGGTTACAAATCTCGATAAAATAGTTCCGTAACGCCACTTAGTATTTCCCATAAGTTTGTCTTAAAAGGCCTTGGACCATTACATCGGTCTCAAGTCCTACCAAACCAAGTTAAATTTGACCAAATTTTACCCCTAAATATTACTATGACGGTCGGTTTAATTTACTGCATACTTTTTTCAATTTGTTAATTCAATAATTCATGATCACATAGACGACTAGACTTGTTAAGTCAATATTTTGCAGTCTAATTGTTTGGATTACAAATCTAAAGTATACAATTTAGTAGCTAAGCTAATCCTATACATGCTTTTGGTACAAGTTAATTATCATCTTTATTATGACTCTCCAAACTGCAACAAACATTCCAATTATAACAAGAAGATAATAATCACACCTTTAGTAATCTTAATCAGATCATAAGATGGTGTATAAAAGTGAAGAATGATGTCAATTAAAAAATATAATAATTATTTGTTACATTAGTTACCTACCCCTTCCATGCTTTGAAGAAATATATATATATATATATATATATATATATATATATTGAGATGTGCCTAATTTTGCATCAAATATCATGGGATATATAATTTATAAAATAAAATTTCAATTAATTAATACACATGAATGTCACATTATATATGCCCTCCCTTATGTTACCAGCACATCAATACAGGTGTAGCTCTCAACATAAAGGACAACCCATAACCCTTATTTATTACAGACCATGGCTCTTGTCTGGACCACTTCCCTAACTGAATTTCATTAATCTAATGACTTTTCCACTTAAACACTGTAAAAATTCAAAAAATTGGATCACAATAATCTCTCTTAACGGTTTTGCTATGGAGCCAATGACCGCGCGTCGCAACGCGTCAAATTAATATTTATATTTTTTCCTTAACTACTTCTACCAACTAGTAGTAGTAGCGAGCAAGGGTCGATCCCACGAGGAGTGTGAACCAA